ACATGATGTTGATGAAGCTTTGCGATTTAGGTCAAAAGACTTTTCCGAAAGAAAAGGTCAAGATATCGCTTGGCGTCCTTCGTAAACCAATACCGTAGTACGAGAACATTATAAAGAATGTTCTTAAGGGAAAAAACTATATGCTTTAAATTATAATATTATATATAAAGACACATGCGGTCTTTACATAAAGACCAAGCAATTCAGTGTCTTAAACCTCTAAACATTTTACTAGAGCTTAATTTGAATATTCTTCTGAAAGGTCATTTTAATTTGCGAATCGAAGACTACTGAAAGGCAGCCAGAGTCGAGCGATTTCCAAATTTCCAAGGGTCGATAAAGATAACAAACATTCGCGCATTGTTACATTTTACATGACGGGGGTCTTATCTTATCACTTAACTTCATTTCCTGTCTCGTTCATCAGCTGAAGCGCAATGTTTTAAAAGGATTCTTTCTGGTTGACAACACATTAAGAGCGGAATGAGATTCAAAAACATTATCAGCTAAGTGAAAGCCAGCAATTCTCGGTTTGAATTCTTGACAACGACAATAAAAAAACATAGATATCCGCCAAAACTAGAATTCAGCTCTACCGAGGATGGAATTCGGTCCTAACTGTGCTTTTCTCTTTTAGAATGGGGAAAAGCAAGAGAAGGAAGTATGAGGACATTTGTAACAAGCTAATCGATGCCAAAGCATATTCCATAAGAAGTAAAAGGATCCCAAAGGAGTCCGGGATATACGCTATTTTGCAAGAGTACAAAACGGTGCCATACAAATGGCTTTACGCAGGAAAGTCAAAAGACATAAAAAGAAGGATTGCTCAACATCGGAGAGGAGAAATACAAGCAATCGATCAAAAGATTGCTCAGACAGAAATGACAAAACTTTCTGTAAAATTTGTAAAAGTTAAAGACCCTGGTAGGAACGAGAGAAAATATATTGCCTGCCTAAGGACCAAAGGTCCAATGTTTCAATTGCCTTACAACAAACAACGGGGCAATACAAAATAGAGCGGAGAGAAAAACTGAAGAAAGATTTAATTTCCCTTTTTAAAAGACCGTTTTTTACTACAAGCAGCTTACTATAGTTTAGTCACTAGTTGAATACCGTTTAGTAAGAGCTATCGCGTGTTAACAATGTTGCCATTTAGAATCAGTTTTTCACTAAATAAAATGTCATTATTTTCAAAAGAACTAACGGAATGACTTGCTTTGTAACTAAAACGGTAAACGTACGGTTCGGCACGTAAATGAAAAACGCGTCTAACATTGAAATGTTATTTTCCCCTGCAATTACAATTACAATTACATGCAGCGCGTAAATGCTTGGCTTTACGTAAAGCCATTTTTTAGTCAATATCAAAAGCCCTCCTGTTCGGACAAAAACTACGTTAGAACTTGAAATAAATAGTACAGTACCTTGCAAGGTTGACTCGAGCTCGTTGTCCGCCGCTCAATGAAACTCCTCGTTCGCCGACTAACGTCATATCACCCTCTGATAGAAGCTCAATGTCCTTGAGGAGTGAGAATAAATGTTTGTATTAGATGTCATTACATACAGTCTTTGTCGGTCCGTGATTATGGAAGAACTATTGAATTTATGATATTTTGATATTTTTTACACTACTGCCCTCACCACCAAGACCATTACCACTTCCGACATCCACTCCCTTATCCCCCCCCCCCCCCCCCCCCCCCCCCCCCCCCCCCCCCCCCCCCCCCCCCCCCCACTACTAATACCACCTCTTTACCAACCACACTACCAACTACAATACTTTCATCCCCAGCATCACCCTACCACCAACAACTCCAAAACTCACTTTACCACAAGTTTATTAGCTTTTAGCTATTTCGTGCAACCCTCATTAAATAAAGGCTTCTATCTATCTATCCATCTACCCCCTTAACTACAACAACAACAACATAGTCCCTCACTCCCACCACTACCACCTCTGGACACCCACACTACCAACTCCCTGACCAACAACGACAATACTTCCATCACCTTCCATACACCATCACCCCACCACTACCAACCACACTACAACTGGCCCTTACCACCACCAATAATAACAATACTTCCATCACCTTCCATGCACCACCACCCCACCACTACCAACCACACTAAAACCGGCCCTTAGCACCACCAATAATAACAATACTTCCATCACCTTCCATGCACCACCACCCCACCACTACCAACCACACTACAACCGGCCCTTA